TATCATTACAAATACCATTGAACAGGAAAAATATCAAAGGGTGGGAAAGTCATGTAATAGCCCTGTTAGGGTGGCCAGGCACATGCCTAGGAACCCTTGGGATACTTCAGGGGTACAACATGAAGAAAAGGACATTGTCAGTGCATCAACATCATTTCCACCTAAAATCCACAAGTGGCATCATTGACGCTCTAGGATTATACCTATCTCTATGGAAAAAACCATGGAGAGTGGCAAAATCCTAGAGTGTAAATGATGTCACATCTGGGTTTTAGCCCAAAGTGACATCAACTATCCTCCCTCCCCATTGTCTCCCACCATTTATTTGAAGATCGGTGGGGAATCGGTGTGCTCTGGCGGGAGTTTTTCTGCCAAAAAAAGGGCGAATAGCACCCCTAATCCCTGTGTAAAACGACAATTCCCAGAGTACTAGAAGCAAACAGTTGCTGCAGCACTAGAATTGTGTGTTCTGTGCAGCTGACCTCAAAGAAGAGCCTTGCTACTATGTTTTGTAGTAGCTGAAGCTTTGAAGACATCTTAAAAGGCAGCCCCACGCAGAGCACATTACAGTAATCCAGTCTGGAGGTGATGGTAGCATGGATTAGTATAGTCAGATGTAGTGGAAAGAAGGCAACGGCCACAACCTGCTTAGGAAAGCTGGGTCCCGGAACACCTTCCTCACTTCTTGATCTACAACAAAAATCTTGACCCACCATCTAAGTCTGGTACATTAACACCAGCTAAACAATCTGCCTTCCTAACCAGCATCACGTCCATCTTGCCTAGACTGAGGTTCCGTTTGTTTACCTTCAGCCACTTGACCATTAACTTGAGATACTGGCATTGAGGATAAAATGGATTCTTGGGGCACCCCACACGTAGGGTTTCAGCTAGCCGGCTCTGCCTCTCCACTGGTAACTCTTTGTTTCCTGCCAACAAGAAACAAGAGAAAGCAGTGGAGAGCAGACCCAAACACTGATAGCACCTGATCCGCCCAAATATCGCGATCGACTGTATCAAGTGCTGCTGATATCTCTAATAGTATCAGCAGCAATGCATTGCCCTTATCTGGGTATTAGGAAAAATCATCAGCCAAGGCTCCAAGGGCAGTTTCAGTCCCGAACCCTGGCCGAAAGCCAGATGGAAATGGGGTACGGGTCAAGGGAAGATGTTTCATCCCGAAATGCCTGTAGTTCTGTCACAACCTGCTCAATTACTTTGCTCTGCAAGGGAAGGTGGATTCCGGTGTATAGTTATCCCGCAATGATTTCTTAAGAAGGGGTCTAATCACAGCTTCCTTTAGCTGTGAATCAAATTTCGAGTTCAGTAGCAACCTAAAGACCAACACAATTTTCCAGGTTATAATTTTGGTGACTCTAAGCTCACTTCTTCAGATACTGTATCCAGGGCCGGCCCCAGCTTATTTTGCACCCTAGGCAAGGATCTCTTCTAGCGCCCCCCCCACCCCCAGTGCGTCCACCACCGCTCGAACCCGTTAATTGGATCTGTACCCTGGACCTCCCGTTCCCCTGGCACCCATGCTCTAAACACTCACTTTTGCTTTTGTAACTTTGCCCACTTTGCACATCTGGCTTCCACCAAGGAAGATTACAAAGAAAGGCACTCGCAGTCGCAAACAACCTCTGCTTCTCACTGCCTCGCACTAGATCTGGTGCATGTGTACTTATCAGGTGGCAGAAGGGCATTTTCTCCCCTACACGCAACTCCCTTTCCCAAAACCTCCACTGGGTCCCCTCCCCAGGTGGATGTTTGCACGTTGGCGTGGAGATGAGCACCGCTCACAGCCGAACCTCGCTGTCGCCGCCACCTCCTGAGGCGAAGGATTGGATGGCTGGAGAAAGCAGAAGCTCCAATTGGACCCGGTGGGTTACCTATCTGGCCACCTCGCTTCAGGCTTGGTTGCAGCGCAGCGTGGGGATGTGGGTGGTTTTTTAAAAGAATAAAAGCCGGCAGGTCGGGCTTTCAATCACTCCCTCCCCCTCCAATTATCCCGATGGTAGAACAACCCAGTTGGCCCCAGAACGAAGTCGAGACTTTCTTGGAAAGCCGTGGAGGGAGGAGAGGGGAGGGGAGGGGAGGGGAGGGGGACGCTTGCAAAACTCACTCTAACTTTTGCCATGGAGCAAAAATTCTCCTTTGTGAGCTGCTGGCATTAAAGTTGTGAGCTAGCGATTTGGCTGCTGCATAGATCAGTTTGCTCTGGAGCCCTCCTTCCTGAGCCTAGACAAAAAGGTGTGTGCCGGAGGCTAAAAAGCTGTGAGCTAGCTCAGCTTACAGGGAACACTGGCGGCGGGGGGGGGGCACAGTATTCGCTCCATAAGACGCACACACTTCCCCCCACACTTTTTTTTGGAGAAAAAGTGCGTCTTATGGAGCGAAAAATACGGTAATATATGTCTCCATTACATTTTAATCAAAACACTCAAAATGTACCTTATATAGATCACAGCTTATTAAACCATCACTTGGATCCACAGTACAGAGAACAAAACTGTCTTATCACATTTTGTACCTCATAGTGCAGCCCACTGGGAGGAGAAAGGGGGGGTGCCGCCACTGCTGCCTCCTCCCGACCACCCTCCCCACGAGGCGCCGCGCCCTCTGATGCAGCTTAGACAGGGCTGCTTGTGAGTCACAGTGCAGGGGGTGGCGCTACTGGGGGTGGGTGGGGACAATGTGCAGCATGGAAAGGGTGAAAGGGAGCGAGCTGCATGGTTGGAGAGGCCGAGCAAGGAGCACGGGGGGGGGAGTTCTTTCCCGGGGGTGGGGAGGAGGCTTTGCCCTTGCATCGCGGATGGACAGATGGAGAGACCGGGGAGAGCTGCAGATCTGCAACTGGAAGGGCGGGAAGAGCCCTTCAGCCGCTGAGCTCAGGGTGTCCTCTGGGCCTCCGCCGCCACCTCCCTCCCTGCTCACTAGGCCCAGGTTGGGCGGCCTCCGGCAGGACAGTTGGCACCCTGTTCGGAGCTCCACCCTAGGCAAGATACTAGTGGGCCTAGTGAGAGGGCCGGCCCTGACTGTATCTGACGAAGCGAGCATTGACTCATGAAAGCTTATATACCCTGGAAAATTGTGTTGGTCTTTAGGGTGCTATTCGACTTTAATCTTGCTCTTCTACAATGGACTCATACGGCTGCCCACCTGAAACTATTTTTCACTGTGAAGGAAACATCCCTTGTAAAAGGGAAAGGTTAATAGTCTGCCCCAAAGGTTTTTAACATCTTCTCCCAGCAGGATTTTAATAGTCAGGATGGGCAAAGATCCAATATGCAGCAAGTGGCCTCCGCATCATCAGTCAGGGAAACCAGCTTGAAGGTATCCATAGAAGTCTGATGAGAGGTCGCCACGGATACCCCCAGCACCAAGATCTACTTCCAAACCGCTGTCAGAGTCCAACCAGATGAGAGAGATTTAACTGGCAAAGAATCAAGCCAAATTATCACTGCTAACTTGCAAATCAGATAGTTCTCCTGGACGAGATCCACTGATGTAGTGGTAGCGGAAAAGGAAGTACTCTGCCATTACTGCCACCTCATGCGCCCTTAAATGAGCTGGTTCTGTCTGATCTAGAGTGAGTATTCTGCCTGCGGTGGTGTAGCCATCTCCCCAACATAGATCCCAGCTCCCTGGTAAGCAAAGGAACAGGTGCCCCCCTCTGGGGGGGGGGGGCAGAGTGCCAACTCTGTCTGCCCTGTGAGCAACGGTGTCAATACACCCTGCAAACCAGAGCTGCAGGTTGATACCAGCAGGGGTCATTTCCTAGAAAAAGAGGTGCAGGTGCTCATTTGCATAACTCATTTGCATATGCCACACCCCTGAAAAAGGCAAAATGTTTAAAATGAGTTAAGGCATATGCAAATGAGTTTAAATCCCCCCCCCCGAATCTCTCTACAAAAGCGGAGAGGCTCAGGGGGAAAGGGGCCATGTCTGCCTGCCTCCCCTTCCCCTCTCCAGCCAACCCACTGTGGCAGGCGGGCTGGCTGGAGATGGGGAGAGCAGGAAAACATATGCCTGGCTTCCCTGCCCAATCTTCTCCAGGTGCCCCCTGTCTTTCCGCCGGTGGCCAAGAAGGTGGGGGGAGGCTGGGCTCCTTACTGCTGGAGCGCCGCTTCGGGCGCTCCGGCAGGAAATTACCCCTGGATACCAGGCCTCTACATAGTCACTATCCAAGTCCACAAAAGTCCCCCAGAGACATTTGGAAACTTATTGGAGCATCAGTCATTGGGACTCTACAGTCCTAAGAGGACCTCCACCCTTGCAGAAGGAGTTAGGCATTGCAACCTTTGCCTTCAGCAAATAATGATCAGACCCCCGGCATAGGCTGTGCTGTATCAGCCCTCCTACCAAATCATCCCCAGTGCAAAAAGATGCATCGTATGACCCTTCTCATGTCTCAGGCTCAGCGCAACCTAGAGCAATCCCATCGTTGCCATGGCCATGGAGCCCTGACCCAAACCAGTCAAGGAGGCTTCAGTGTGGATGTTGAAGTCCCCCAACACTACCAGGTTTTTAGTCTGCAATGCTACTTCTGCAACCAACTCCATCAGCTCAATAAGCTAGGTGGAGGACATACCAGCACTATTCCTAACCTGTGCCTAGAACCCAGCACAAGGGACATGCAATTAAGAGCCAGTTTGGTGTAGTGGTTTGGAGAGGGGACTCTAATCTGGGAGAACTGGGAAAACAACATCCTACTGCACATCTGTAGAGATAAGCATTGCGGCACAGGCAGAACAACAGAGATAGGAATGCAACAGCAATTACCAAGACACCGAATGAACTCCCCAACCCCCGTGGCAGCATAGCTGACAGTGCCCAGTCAACACCCCTATCTCTGATCAAATCAAGTGTCAAAGATCTTGTCATGTATAGCAATATATATTTATAATTTTCAGATATGCATTTGGGTCCCTCACCTTCCATTTTTTCCATACAGTAGACATGTTTTCTTCATATTTTAATCTCCTCCAACTTCACAGCAGCATCTTTTTCATCTCTGTTCCCTGACTCCTCTTCCTTTTCCAGGACAGAGGAAATATGTGTCCAGAAAGTGTCGTCAAGTTGTAGCTTACTTATGGCGACCCCCATAGGGTTTCCAAGGCGACAGCCGTTCAGAGGTAGTTTGCCGTCGCCTGCCTCTGCGTAGCAACCCTAGGCTTTCCTTGGTGGTCTCCCATCCAAGTACCAACCAGGGCTCACCCTGCTTAGCTTCTGAGATCTGATGAGATCAGGCTAGCCTGGGTGGAAATATGAGGGACAGGCATTTCCTTCCCTGTTTTCTCCCTGCCCGGAAACAGTGAAACTGTCAAGGATTGGGGGAAAGTCTTGTCAGTTTCACTGTGGGGTTTTTTTTCCTTGGGGGGATGTTATATATGCATATAGTATACATACACACACACACATACACACGTAGGACTCATGCACATAATAATGCAGTACTTACTTTTTTACAAAAATGATGACGCATCCATGAAATGGGCAACAATTATTCAGGAAGGAAATGAGGGGCTGTACCAATTAGAGCAAAGAGACAAGGAAAAGACAATAGTATCAGGAGGAAGAAAATTATATTCCAAATATTAATACCCCTACACCTTTCGTGTTAAGCTTCCTCAGGAGGGATCTGTAGAATATAAACACGGCAGCACTCCCACTAAAACGGCTTCAAGAACAATTCTCTGGACCTTGCCACTGTCGCCAGACACTACTCTAAATTATGGACGTTTCTAAGGTTCTTCTCATCCTAACTTCTTATTAGATTTTGGAGTTATGAACTGACTTCTCTGGTTTCTGAACTGGAACTGAAGCATTAGGAATCCTCCTTAGTTCCCTCTTATGTTTCTGAATTTTGAACAAATGGAAGTGCAAGTGAAATTGGCCACATCCCTCTGTTCCTGTGGTTCGTTTCTGAATTCTTTTTTCCCTGTTCATTACCTATGTACTTGCATGTATTAGAAAAACACTGCAAAAAAGCAAACATTATGTGATTATACACATCAATTGTATCAAAATGGAAGTGCAAGTGAAATTGGCCACATCCCTCTATTCCTGTGGTTCATTTCTGAAATCTTATTTCCCTCTTTATTACCTATGTACTTGCATGTATTAGAAAAACACTGCAAAAAAGCGATTGTGATATGATTATACACATCGATTGTATCAAAACTCTGTTTAGGTGTGTACCCAGTGTGCAAGAATGTAAGTGCACATCAGCAAAACACTGCATGGAAGAAACCTATAGACAATCTATGCAACATCATCATGTTTGTGATGTTTTATCAAGCAATCTTGATGCAATCAAACATGTGATCACACCATAATCCTGTTGTGTTTTACCAGTGTGCGTGTGCCCGTGCATAAAGCATTACACACAGATTACTATCATTCAGTCTCATGTACAATCATGTCAAGTAGAATTGTGGCACTTGTTTTGCAGCATTTATCAATACACTCATGTGCACTGGTGATATAGTAAGAGAAAAGATGCAAGTGACCCGGAGAGAGTGAAATCTGTGTATATTCCCATCCCAGAATTAATTTTGGGTATTATTGGTGTGTGTTTTTTCTGGAATCTTGGGGGAAGCAGAATGGTGGAGGGCAAAATCCAGAGCATCAGAAAAAAAGGAAATTGTCTCATCCCTCTCCCTTACTCGGAAAGGGTGCTTGTTAAATGGATTGTGCAGGATTAGAAATGATGTGAATGACGTGTTTCACACTTCTAGCTACAGCTGGTTTCTTTCCTGGCATTCTATCTAGTGCTGAAAGAAAGGAATTGTTTCATTTCAGACGAATACCGGCGGCTGTGTATTGAGGGCCTCCCAGTGGTTCCGGGTTTCCCAGGCACCTTCCCAGGGGTCCCAGGTTATGGGCCAAATGGAGTCGGTCCAGGCATCAGTGGCCCAGGAAGCTTCGGGCCCAACGGAGCCAACGGTCAAGGGGGTATCCCCGGTCTCCCTGGCATGGGACCTGGCAGCTCAAGCATCGGTAAGTGAGACAGTGCTTACAATAGACATCAGCGGTGACTTTGGCATCTTTTTGGAATGGAATCAGGGGTCATTTCATAGAAAAAGAAGTGCAGGAGCTCATTAGCATAACTCATTAGCATAACTTGTGTGTCAGAAGGCAACACCTACTGATTAGGCTCCACTGGACTGTTTTGGATTGCTGGCTATGGGAGGGGGGATGGAATGTGCAGATCTGTCCTTGCAGAGGAGGGAGAGCTTGTACCTGAATAAAACTTGGTCTTAAAGGTGCTACTGGACTGTTTTGGACCGGGGGCCCGGGGGGAGCTCTGCAACTTACCTGGCTGCTTCTTGCACTGACTGGGGGCTGCTGGGAGCAGGGGGCGGGGCTTGTTGCATGTGCCCACCCCCTGGGCTCTTTACTGCCGGAGCTCCGCTCCTGTGCGCTCCTGCAGGAAATGACCCCTGTATGGAATTATCCCTACCCCCTTCTTCTGTGTACCCCTATTTCTGCTGGCTGAGCTTCCACCGATGTGGCCTGTGATGCATAAAAGGTTCCGCTGCCACAATAAACGGGTGAATCTTCACGATAGCGCAAGACCTTTGCTTATTTAGAAATTCAGTGGAGTAGGTGAGCCTCCTCAAGGAGGTACCTCCAGGAATAAGGAAAGCTCAAAAGCTTTTCACTTTGAAGGGTCCCTGCTCAGAGCAAAAAGTGGTCTCTTGATATTTAGGGCCAGTTCAGGAACAGAAGCAGCCTTGAAGATCCTTCTGCGTTCCAAGTTGGAATCTGGGGCTCAGAGATGACACCCGAGAGAGCAGGCCAATGTGCCTCATCTCCCATAGGCTAGCCAATCCCCCCCCCCCCAGTCCTTTGTCTTGGTTTTCCCCCTGAACGTATAGTTCAACCCCCAACCTGATGCACGTAGTCCATGCTCATCGCACAGAAGTAACCAAACAGCTTCTGTCACATGGACTCTACTCTGTCCCCACGGTCCTTTCCTCTGCGTCCAGCTGTGTCTGCACATCCCACAAGGTTGCTGTTCTCATAGCGGAGTTCTCATGGTTGTTGGGTGAGCAGCTGATTGTTCTCAGGAGACCTCTATAAAGTCCCGTCCATACAAACATATGCTTTTCCCCCTCTCAGGAACGGCCACCCTGAACCAGACAATCGACATTTGCAAGCATTTCACCAACCTCTGCTTGAATGGACGCTGCATCCCCACGCCGTCCAGCTATCGCTGCGAGTGCAACATGGGCTACAAGCAGGATGTGCGTGGCGAGTGCATTGGTGAGTGCAAACTCTGGCTGTGCGAATGTTGGCTGTGCGAATGTTGGCCATCTGGGGCACCTGGTTTGAAGAGATGGCCTCAAAGGGAAGTTCAACAGATTTGTGAAGGAGAGGTCCATCAGTGGCTGCTAGTCATGATGAGCAGAGAAAGCCTCCCTATTCAGTGGTACTAGTAAACCTCTGAATACCAGTGCTAGGAGACAACATCAGGGAAAGACCCTTGACCTCTGTGCTCTGTTTGCTGGCCCTCCAGGGCAGATGGTTGGCTGCTGTGTGAAAAAGGATGCTGGACTAGATCGCCCACTGCTCTGATCCTGCTGGCCTGTTCTTAGCCTCTTTATTCCTGTTCTACCCAAGGCAGAGGGAAGTGTATGCTTGCAAAATATCCCAGTTCCATGCTGTGTTACGAAGCCTGGCTCACTTTACAGATTTCAGTGTAGTTAAAGGAGTCATGGCTTGGTAGTAGAAGGACTGCCTTGTGTGGAGACGGTCCCAGGTTCAATTCCCGGCATCTCTAGGCAGACGTTCACAGATGATCTCTCTCTGCCTATGACAACTTTTCAGCCTAAACTGGCTTCCACGGTGGCTCACGGGTAGATAAAAATAAATATCCACGTGAACAGCAGGGCAAATGACAAGTGTTCCTTGGAGACAACAGGGATCATTTGGGGCCTGAGCGCACAGGAGCACCGCTCTGGCAGCCCAGGAGTGGGCACAAATGGCGGTGGCAGCAAGCCCCACCCCCAGCTCCCCGCTCCTCGCCCCCATCTCCCAGCTCCCTGCCCCCAAGCTCCTTTTTTCCAAAGCACCACAGCAGCGGTGCGATTTTTCCATTGTATTCTATGGCCCATAGATAGGAGGTGAAGGGATCTGGCTGTCAGATGGAATACATTCTAGTGAGGAGCTAGAGGATAATTAAGGAATTTATCACCCTACGAGGAATGAATGGAAAAAAAGTAGACATATTAATTTTAAATATAGCGATAGGTCTAAAATCCACTGGTGTGTTGGGTTTGTTTTGGTATTTTTCATATGTGCACGACCATGTGTGCATGTGTGTGCACCTGGAAGCCACGGCGACCTCTGGTGGCTGACCCCTACTGGGGGCCTGGAGGATATTCAGAGAGGTGGCGGAATAAAGCCTGCCTCCGCCTCTCAACTGCTGGTATTCCAAGGAGGTCTCCCATCCAAGTACTTGCCAAAGTCGGCCCTGCTTAGCTTCTGAGATCAAATAAGATTGAACTTGCCTGGGCTATCTAGGTCAGGTAAAATCCACTGCTGTGCTTGATTTTCAAACTTCTTGTATTTCTCTGAGCTTTTTTATTGAACGCTCAAAAATGTTTGGCTGCTTGCAGGTATTAGGTGGGACACTTGCAAAATGCTTGGAAGCCCACAATTGCATGCCTACTGGTGCCCGCATTACCGGGTTCCACAAATTCCACAGATTCACCATTCCAAAAGAAGGGACCTACTTGCTTTCTAAACAGAGGATAGGTCCTCTTTAGGCCTATAGGTAAAGGTAAAGGTTTCCCTTGCTCGAAAGCCAGTCGAATCCGACTCTAGGGATGCAGTGCTCATCTCCGTTTCCAAGCTGAAGAGCCAGTGCTGTCCGAAGACATTTCCGTGGTCATGTGGCCGGCATGACTAGATGCTGAGGCGCACAGAGCGCTGTTACCTTCCCACCGATGCAGTACCTATTTATCTACTTGCAATTTCTTCCTTTTGAACTGCTGGCTTGGCAGGAGCTGGGGCCAGAGACGGGAGCTCCCTCCGTCCTGCGGCACTCGGGTCTCGAACTGCCGAACTACAGACCTTCCTGTCTGCAGCCTCAGCGTCTTAACCTCTCAGCCACCACGGCCCCTATATTTTTCTATAAATCACTCTTCCGCAGAGCTGATGGGACATTTTAGTGCTTCCCCCCCCCCGAAACAAAGTGGAAGCTCAAGAAAATGACAAATTCCCAACAGCCTCAGCAATAGATGCACAGGCACTCACAACGCTCCTTGTCTTAAATAGCGAACAAATCAGCAGTGTGAGTGTACGGAGTGCTCAGCCGAATGAGAAAACGAGCAGGCAGGGTAGATCACCTTTCAGAGCATGTTGCCTCCAGAAGCTGCCTGCGGCACCATTAGCCTTTTGCTGACTTAAAAAATGAGAAGAGACATTTAGAAACATTTACAAGCTCTAGATCTGGGAGCCTCTCTGAGGAAATCTAAAAATTATAGTTCCGTCCAATATTTCCTTTTATATCCATTGTAAAGGGAATCTCAATATAAATGGTTACATAGTTGATTTATGAATATTGCCCAAGTTAAAATAGGGCCTTTCAAACAGATAGATTTAAATGATGGAAACGCTAGGTTTGACTGATCCGATTTCTTTCGTTTACATCCCTGGTGTCCTGCTCTGCAAATTTATTGGACACAAGTGTCCGAGGTTATTTATCAGATGACGGGTCTGGGACCGGAGGTTGTCATCAATTAACCAGGTGAAGGAGTTCAGTTCAAAGAAGGTTATCACGAAGCGATGAAATTATTATTGCAAAATGGCTTGGAAGCGGCAAAGATCGTATGGGCGTGAGGTCGGTAATCCATTTCAGCCCTGACAAGTACAAACCATTTAATCAACCCTTTTGGACATCCCCAAAAATATAGAATTGAACAAATGACGGCTCAGGAGAGAAATAGCCTTGTGTTCCCTGCAGGGTAGAAAAATCACTCCCGTCAGAATGCTCATTGGACATGATTCAGCCAAAGAAAAGTGAACACCTTTGGTTTCAGTAGGAGAAATTGGTGCTCAGAGCTTCTCATGACAACAGTAACAACATAAGACAAGCTCTGCTGTATCAGACCAGCAGTCCATCTAGTCCAGCGTCTTGTTTCACACGGCGGCCAACCAGCCTTCCCCTGATCTTGCCTCCTGGCACTGGTATTAAGGAGTTTACTGCCTCTAAATGTGGAGGCTCCCTTTTGTCACCATGGCTAGTAGCCCTTGGTTCACCAATTCTGTGTAATCCTTCACTTTGACTGGATAATCCCTACTGAGACTTCATGTACTTGGTACATGTCTTCAAAATTTTCAACTCTTCCCTGGTAGACCAGATCTGGTGGACTATCTTTCAAGGTGGACCATTGCTGAAAGAACACGTATAATCCCAACTAGTTTTGCCAGAGGGGCACTAGCAAAGCAAAGTTCCACCCCCTTCAACTCCCACCCCCCAGTGGCTTGCTGGCAAGTCCAGTAGCCACAGTGGACCATCCTTCCAGTCTCTTCCGTACTCTCTCATAGCCAGTTTAGGAATTCTGGACAGGGACAGAGTTTGCCGCAACATTCAGGAGACCAAATTTTGCTTAAGGGCACCAGTCTCTGATGGTGTGACGTTCCAGGTTCTATAAATGGCGTTTTTAGTTGGAAGGAGCTTGACTAAAAGATGTTGATAAGGACGTGTTTCTGCCTGAGACCCTGATTGGTCAGAATAGTGAAAATTAGCCTGGATGGACCAATGATCTGATTTGGAAGAAGGCGGGGCTCCTGACCTCCAGGCTTTGCAGTTCATAACTTAAGGCTCTTTTCTTTTCAAGACATGGATGAGTGTTCCAGTAGCCCCTGTCTGCACGGCGACTGTGTGAACACCCCTGGCTCGTACCACTGCAAGTGCCACGAGGGATTTCAGAGCACACCCACCAAACAGGCCTGTATCGGTAAGTCTGAGGAGTGTTGTTCTTCAGTTGTTATCCAGTTTTGTGATAGTGATGCATGTATGAAGGCTGTTTGGGGCTCGGCTGACTTCTTGAGTGCACAGGGAAGGGTGTGTTTGTGTGTCCTCAGGGGCTCAGTGGAAGAACTTCTGCTTTGCATGCAGGAGGTCCCAGGTTCAATCCCCAGCTTCTCCAGTTGAAAGTACCAGGTGGTAGGTGACATGAAAGAATTCAGCCTGAGTCCCTAGAGAGCCACTGCCAGTCTGAGTAGACAATACTGTCAAAAATCGCTCTGCTGAGTTTGTCATGGATACTGGGGGGTGACTATCTTAGAGGCCATAACTCTTCTGAAGCAGCCTTCCTCTCCCAGAGGAACGCCCTTAAAACTTTTGGTGCCAGCTTGCTTGTGTAGAGAATGGGATTGTATGTTTCCCAGGTGAAAGGGGGGTAGGACCGCTACAGCTAGGCGGGATGGATCATTAGAGTGGTCATTAGAA